GGAAAATGGAAATGTTGAGAGGAAAGTGGTTGTTTCATAGAGACAGGCTAAGAAAACAGAAAGGTGTGTGTGTGTGTGTGTGTGTGTGTGTGTGTGTGTGTGTGTGTGTGTGTGTGTGTGTGTGTGTGTGTGTGTGTGTAGTAATTATATCAGCAGTCATGGTTGATGGATGATTGAGGTTGTATCTGCAGCCTGAGGCCTCGAAGCAACCAAGACTGTTATGTGACATCATGCAGCGTCTGTGCAGGAAATGCTGCTGAAGGTTCGAGCTCATCTACGACTTTTAAGAGGAAAAGTTTCAATGTCAAACCAACTTTAACGCATGAAAGCGACGGAAACTGTCATCTGCAGCTTATTGAAGATAATCACACGTCTGAACAGATGTTCAGCCCGTCTGCTCTAAACCTGCTGGAGTAAAATAAATGGAATAAACACGTTCAGCGTTTAACTGACGGCAAAAACTGCAGATGCAACTCAGGTTACCAACCTGAGTGAATGTTGCACATGTATGTGCAGCGAATGTTGCACATGTATGTGCAGCGAATGTTGCACATGTAGGTTTGCTGTTTGTTATCTTTCGGTTTCGACATTTTTAAGCTTCTTGTTCTTTTATTATCCACTAAACAAGATGATAAAAGATGAAGCAGGATGAAAACTTTCCCTCAGAACCGACGACCCAATAAGAATCTTATCTGGTTCCGTTTTGTTGGACGATCTGACAAAATCATTTCAGCATCAAGTTAAACCGCTAAAAGAACCGGTCCGCTGGTTTGGTCCGGTCCAAAATAGAACTTTTTCTTTTTTCTGATTTGTAAACGCAGCCATGCAGGTGAACGTTATATTGACCAGACAGAGATTGGAAAACTTCGGGGCGGTTCCGGTTCAATCAGAACCTGCAGCAGTAGCGTTTTTACCAAAGGTGGCCCATAAAGTCCCACAAGCTGAATGTTGTTCAGATCGAAGCTGCTCTCTGTCTGGAAGGTCCGGTTCGTTTGGACCGGTCTGAATTCTGGTCTCTGTTCGGTTGAAGTGGTGCAGTTTGGATGCACATGTGAAAGCCAAGTGGACGGGAGGCGGCTCCAAAAGCAGGAAGTGGACTACAGAGCAGGGCATTCTGGGTAAATGCCACCAAAACAAACATGCTAGGCTGATGCTAGCAGGAGAAACGCTCGTTATCGTTTAGCAAAGACAAAGAGAAATCCTCCAGCCGCTAAAATCAGACGCCGCTCCATGTGCTCTGTGTCTTTGTTGGTTTTTGTGTCGTTTCCTTCGGTGGTTCTTGGTGCAGCGCCCCCACAGGCCAGGAGGGGAACAGGGTTTAAAGGGGTTGTTTGGTTTGACTCGGTGAAATGAGGAAGAACTGGAGCAGCTGGAGATGATCAAATGTTTGGTCCCAAATGAAACCGAATCCACCAAACTGTGAAAACACCTTTAATCTGCTCCAGTTTGCTTCCAGCGAAGGAAACAAACTGGACTCAGATTCAGTTTCCCTCAGAACAAACTGCAGTTTCAGCCCAGACTCTGGTTAAAGTTGATGTGTTGCACTAGAACCAAATGTTGCAGATCATTTATTGCATATCAGCAGCTTGTGAGGTGTTGAAGTTCTTGCTTTAACATCAACGACGCGTCTCATTAAATATGCATCACCACGTCTTCCTGCAACTTGCCAGTCTGCTCTGGTGTGAGAAGATCTAAAAGCCACTAAAGTGTCACCTTCTGCACGCTCCAGTTTGCATGAATTCCTTGAATGCAACACCTTTCTTCTTTGTCTCTAATGAGCAGTTTCAGTCTCGCTGTACTGTAATGAAATGTTGGTGAGACGGAGAACGAGAGCCTCTATTCTCCGGCTGTCACACTGCAGTAGGCCTCAGTCGGAGTGTGTGTGTGTGTGTGTGTGTGTGTGTGTGTGTGTGTGTGTGTGTGTGTGTGTGTGTCAGATATTAGCATATCAATGGAGCTCACCTCCTTCCACCCACTCCTCCTCCGTCTCTGTAATTGTGGCTGATAATCACACACGCTCTCTTATCAACATGCGCTCTCAGACATGCGCGGGGAACAAAACAAATTGAGTCGCTTCAGTAGAAGGAGACATCTGAGAGGAGGAAGGCTGCAGGGTGATAAACAGACCAGCAGACACGGCACGACTTTCCTCCTCCAGATAAATCCTGAAATGAAATTCAGAAGCAGGGAAGTGAAGTTTGTGCCTCCCGCTGCTGAACTTTGCTTTGTTTGCTTCACTGCAGCTGTAATTTAGGAGCAGCTTCTCCAACGGCGCCGATGCCGCTCTGGGTAGCAGCCTGTGGGCCTTCAGAACCGGAACAACCACTTACAGTCGGCAGCGGGGAAACTTTCATTTCTCTTTGCCTCCGACATCAGAAACCTGCCTCAGAGCCACGTTAAATACTCTGATTAAAGAACACGGCTGTCATGGGAAATGAGATAAGAGAGCAAGGCGTCAGATCAGGGGTCATGTGATCAGGGGTCATGTGATCAGGGGTCATGTGATCAGGGGTCATGTGATCAGGGGTCATGTGATCAGGGGTCATGTGATCAGGGGTCATGTGATCAGGGGTCATGTGATCAGGGGTCATGTGATCAGGGGTCATGTGATCAGGGGTCATGTGATCAGGGGTCATGTGATTGGCGCTCGGTCTCGTTTGACTTCAGCATTAAGGTTTGACATCAACACAAATAACCAACGCCTACGGAACAACAATGCTGCCAGTGTCTCCTGGTTGATGTAGATTTCTGGATGAGTTTAATTAAATATGAAACAATGACCCCCTGCTGTGCTGCATCAGATCTTTAACCTCAGAACCTTTCATTGGTGTGAAAGGGTTTTATTCTAAACAAAACGTTGCTGTTTGTTCACATTTTACTCTACAGAAATAATTCATGCATCAAAACGTTGGCGCTGATGTTTGTTTTACGGAAATGTAGAGACTGGAGCCAAATCCGATTCATAGTTTAAAACCTCTTGAGTCTCAGTTCAGTGATTCTTTGGATTCCAGTTAAAACTTTTAACTTTTTGTTTTTCCCAAGTTGACTGAAAACCAGCTGAGACCTGCAGTGCAGATGTTAGAAAATCTGAGTGAGTTTGTCGTGTTTAGTGCGGATGGATTATTTCTGTTCCTGAACGGAGAAACGGGATCAACATGACCTCCGATATCAAAACATGGAGTTTACAGAAAAGCTTCTTTGATCTGATTGTTAAACGATCAAAAACATAAAGAATGAAACTCGTCAGAACCAGAGCTTTCACTCCCGCATCACTTCCTGTTCTGGTGAAATCCTCTGACATCAGAGACACTAAACATGCAGATCACAGGATTATTTTCTCCAGCTTCCCCTGGAAAACGGCCCGAGAGATTTTCCTGGCCAGATCCATATCGCCGTCGCTGTGATTTTAAATTGAACGGCGCTGAAAGAGTGACGGCACTTTCATGTGTTTCCAGCTGATACCGTGTTGCGTCTGCCGAGGTTCAGGCTGATAAGAGGAGAAGAAGCTCCTTAATAGAACCAGATGACACGCCTGATACCGGCAGCATGTGGGAGGCAGACAGATACAGATCTGCCTCTCACACAGAGACCCGTAATGATTTAACCGGCTGGTAGCAGAACCCGGGCAGAACGACCGGCGTTCACCCTGCTAGCGGCGCCGGGTTTGGAAACCAGCTGGGCCTTTTGGGTCCGTCTGCAAAGGACGACCTTCAGCGTGGAAACAGTTCGATTTAAATCCGAACATCGACCCGTTCAGGACGGAGACGGTTCTGGTCCGGAGTGACCAGGTGGATCAGCTGATGGATCAGCTGGTGGATCTGCTGGTGGATCTGCTGGTGGATCAGCTGATGGATCAGCTGGTGGATCAGCTGGTGGATCTGCTGGTGGATCTGCTGGTGGATCAGCTGATGGATCAGCTGATGGATCAGCTGATGGATCAGCTGATGGATCAGCTCAGGCGCCGTCATCGCCGCGTTCTGCTCCTACGACGTTCCTCCAGGATTTATTACTTCTTATTCCTGCATGCTGCTGGTTTCTCTGTCGGCTCAACAACCAAAACTTTCCAAAAACTCTGAGTTGTGACGTTTCCATCAGTGGAACCAAATCATATCTGATGCTTTTAAAAGCATCTTCTCTGCTGAGCTTCATCAAAGAAAAGTTTGAAGTATATTAAAAAAATAGATGGATTATTTTTCCCCATCTGTTACAATAAATGTCTGTGTGACACATTTAACAACATGTTTCTGGTTTGCATCATAAATAGTCATATTTTCTGGATTTCCAAGGCTTTTCGCCCTGCAGCTTCTCCGTTCAGTCACTTGATCAAACACAAACTCTTAAAACAGTTTTTCTGTTGTTACCGTCGAAGGCCAGGATCAGTAAAAGCGTTTTGGTTTGAAGCTCATGCAGAAAACTCACAATAATTGAGGCATTAGTTTAAAATGAATTTCTTTTACGTCATCTGTGCATTAATTCATTCGTGTTTGTTATGGTTTAATGGTTGTCCTGCAGCAGCAGCAGCGCCGCTTTATTAGCATCACGATGCTACATTCTGGCCTCCGACTGGCTGTAAAGTCTTCCTGCCTCTTTCACTGCTGGACGTTTTAATTTGCAGCAGGCGGCTGAGTTAATGGAGAAACACTTTTCTGTGACGCTCCTCCAGTTTCTCTGCAATGTTTTGGTTTCTCCTGGTTCCCATCGCCTCCTCAGAGAGCACAGCGAGGGTAATGGAGGTCAGCGGCGCCGGCGCTCATTTATCTTCCACTTTATCACCTGCTCCACTTAACCTGCTCAGCTCTTCCTTTTGTCTTTTTCATTTGTTTCTCCCCATTTTTTAGGCTGCGATGGATTTTATTTTATCTTCTATCCTCCCCTGCAGTCGAGTTTGGACCCGAAGAGGCCCGGCTCAGACGGTACGCATTAAACATCCAGAATGAAGACGAGATCAAAGCACGACAAACCCGCAGAGCAGCAGCACACGAGATAAAAGCAGGAGATGAAAACGGAGCCAATCCTGCAGGAAAAACCGCTTTGAGTCCCGCATTAAGAGAACTTCATGTCAACAAGCGTGTAAACGTGGTTCTGAGATCCAAACCGACGACTTCTGGGTCAGATGTTCTGAAGTTAATTTGAATAAACACTAAAAACATGAAGCTGTTGTTTATGCCAGAGCTAGGACTCAATTAAACGTTTTAAACATTTAATTGCAAGTTTTGTAACTAATTAGTCACATTTTCATCAGACAAAACATTTATAATTGAGAAACTTTTTTCTGCTAAAGTATCGAATAAATACGACAGCAACACAAATTTTTATTGTGTATAATCTGTTATTGGAGAAAGTAGTTTTACGAATTATTCATGAAACTTCTGTAAAAGTGTGGATGCTAATGCTAATGTTAGTATCAGGTTTAACATTGAGACCAGCTCCTTTTAGCACAACAATAGTCTTTTCCAGCATCCAGTTGTTTTGTGTTTTGAAGCAGAAATTAGAGAAGCAGAAGCAGCTTGTGCAACAGATTTACAGTCGTACCAGAAACGCTAAATAAAGGTTCCTGTTGGAAACAACAGAAGCATTTAATTGTGTTATAATTTTTAGCACATTAAAGTCCTGGGGCGCCCCAGTGGAACCACCCCACTGGAACCGCCCCAGTGGTTCTGCCCCAGTGGTTCTGCCTCAGTGGAACCACCCCACTGGAACCGCCCCAGTGGTTCTGCCCCAGTGGTTCCGACAGGTTTGCAGGTGGACCAGGGTTTGATGAGGGTTCTGAACTTTGTGAACAAACAGACTGGATTAAATGGGACAGACCGGCTGGATGCAGCCTTAGTGTTGCTAACGCTAACACTTTGTTGTTATTGTTCTGAAATCCCAGCAAACACATTAAAGTTGAAGGAAGGTTGGAGTTTAATGAAGCAGACCTTTAATCTGATGCTTCGTTTCAGTGGAATAATGGATGGTTGCAGCAGTAAAACTAAACAGAGAACCAATAAAACATGTTTTTCTTGCATTAGATGATTTTTATCTCATTGCATTTTGAAAAATGAGCTCAATAAGTAAACAGCTGAGAATCTAATTTACCTGGATCCATTTTTTGTGCGGTTGTATTGAATCCCTTTGGCTCAGGCGGAGCGCTGAAAGGTTAATGCTGTTTCTCTAAAAGCCCTTTTTCTCCGGCTCTCCATTCGGAGTTGATGCCTCGTTATTCCGCCTCTCGACTCGCTGCAGGTGCAAACAGCTTTTATAAAGAAAGAGCCGTAATATAAGTAAAGTGCTTCGCCATTGTTGCACTTATTACAGAGGAGAAAGTGATGCTTGGCAATGAAGCGTCCAGCCGTGGCGAGCCGCAGTAACTGGGATTTAAAAATGCCACGGCGTGGTGGGCGTGGCCTAGTCAAAGGAAGAGCTGCAGCTCCACAGAAGCAGCAATGTGTTGTTTGGAGTCTCATAGTTTTGTTGCTAATGATGATTTGATGACAAACATTTTTTCTTCTTTTAAAGGTTAGAAACGTTCAGAGAATTTTACCAAAATGATCAGAAAAATACGAGTTTATACAAAATGAGACTTTAATTCACGTCTGGAGACCAACGAGCGTCCAGCCGGCATCCAACGCATCCAACCAATGCATCACATCCAACCATCGCATCCAACCATCCAACGCATCCAACCAATGCATCACATCCAACACATCCATCCATCCATCCATCCATCCATCCCTCCACTAAACTTTACATTTGACACGATGCAGTCAGGCGAGCAGCTTTGTGCTGGTTGTTTCCAATCCAAGGCTCTGAAATTGGATTTCTAAACCGACTCTTTGCAGCAGAGGAAACATATTTCTGACGTTGAGTTGAGCAGCATCATGCGATGCTGCATGAAGCTCTTTGCATTCAGTGGTTTGGAGGGTTGAGGACATAATTATGGCTAATTACTGCATTCACAGCTTTCAAAAACATAATTTCTGGCTAAATGTGCAGCTGATTTGGTTTATTTTGACGTCGTTTCAGCCTCAGATTTCATCTCAGCACGTCAACTTCTTCAGAAATTATAATTCACACAGTAACAAAAACGCAGCGATGAGTGGAGGAAAATAAATCATGAGAAAGGAAGACAGACGTACAGTCAGACAGTTCAGCTCCGTGGCTGTTTTCTCCCTGCTCTTGTTTTCCTGTCACTCGTCCGGCGCCTCCATTACTCACTCTGGGAATGTGATGTTTAAATTGCTGTATATTTTCCCCTTGGCAACACCGATCCTTCACGGCCGTGATTTACAGCCAGGACACGTACTTCACACAATGTGTTTGTGGAGCGTTTCTCTGAGCTTTCAGGCCGTTGAATCATAGAGAGCAGGAGGTCCAGGCAGCGCGGAGGTCAAGGTTCGGCTGGGAAACTGTAAATATAATCATGAACTGAGGTGTGTGGCTGATCTTCAGTATGGAGAAAACTTGATGAAGAGGCTTCCAGCTCTGCTCTCCAGCCTGAAGTTGCTTCTTGCTTTCAGTAAATCGCTGACTCAGCCGCCAGCTCCAGTCTTTAATTAGGACTTAAAGTTTATTTTCCCATAATAGTTCAGTAAACATGAGGCGACGCTGAGCACAACGATCTGCCTCGGTTTGGCGCCATGGACAGTGTGGAAGGAGAGAATCCCACAGCATCCTGCTGCCACTGCCATGTTTCACTGATGTGATTATCAGGGCAGTTTGTTTGCCACTTTATGTAATTAGGCATAAAGTTTCATTTATCTTGACAACATAACTCAAAGCACAATAAATAATAAACGATACAATAAATAACACATCTCTCTCTCTCAATTTGTTTGTTTTATTCGAAATGTTTTTTCTGTGAACCTTTAAGAGAACAGACAGAAGCAGAAACATTTTCCTCACTGTTACAGTCACTGATAAAACAGAAGCTTCTTTATTTGAACCTTAAACTCTCAGCCTGGATTTAAACATGTTTTTACTTCCTGCTGCCGTCTAACTTGAAAGCTAAAGGTTGTTAGAGGAGGAGAAGGAAGGAGGGAAATGTTTTCTCACCTGCAGAAAGACATTAAAAATTAAAGAACAGAGACTGACGCACCAATCATCCTGACACACCTGTTTTACTTCCTGTCCGTCAGGAACAAAGAAATAAAAACAACTCAGTTTAATGTTTAAAGCTGCTGCACAATAAAGGCCTGTGAAGCAGAACCGTCTATCAGCTGTTTGATGCTCAAAGGATCTGAGCATCTTCTCCTCTTTCCTCCACCATCCATCCTCTCTAATCACAGCCTGGCAGCCTGCTGGCTGTGTGTTCATGTGTGGAGGCATTAAAACAGACAGAGGAAGTCAATTCAAACAGTAGAAGAAGAGTGGAAAGTATTATGAACGGAGGCTGTAAAGAGGTTTTATAGGCCTGAAGACAAAGGAACAGCTGCAGCTGATGGGAGATGTTTGTTTACTGGCGTCCAGATGTTCCCAGTTTGTCCCATTTATTCATGAATGCATGAAGAGAAACTTAGAGTCACTAATTTCTTCAAACTTCAAGAGTTAACTCAAAACTCAAGGACAGAGAGCTAAAATAAACCCGGAGCGTCACATCCGGTCTCACGATAACCGATTCTCCCACAAGTTATCGCGATAAACGATAATAGTTATTAATGCTGCTGGCATAATAATGCAAAAATCAACAAACTTTAAATTCTAACAAACATGTAAAACTGGAATTTAAAATAATTGAACCAAACAACAGAAACAATAAATAAAGTGAATTATAAAGAAAAATTAAGATTTATCACCTGAGAGAAAAACAATAAATCCTGCAAATGGAAATTATTGAGCTCATTTAAATTTATTATGAAATTAATTGATTTACTCAAGACATGCATGACTGAGCTTCATGTGACGCCCAACAGCTTTATGATGAATAACGGCAGCAATGAAACAATTAATCTAATTAATTAAGCAATAATTGAAAAATCAGCTGATTCAGCTTTATTCACTTGAGTAAAATAAAAAAGAATAAAACAATTAATCCAAACATGTACAAAATCATAAACATTTTGTATGAAAGACTAAAATAAGTAACTTTATGTAAATCAATCTCTTACTAATCACCTTTAGCGGTTCAATTATTAATCAATTAATGGACGGATTAGTCACCGATCAGCAGAAGGATCTTTTATTTTATTGCTGCAAATGATTAAATGTTCACTAACGGAGTGAAACGTCACTGCAGTTTAAATAAAATGTTTATTTTTTATAAAGACGTTTTCTGTCCTTTATTTACATGTTAATGTATTTATTTAATCAGGGTTTTATTCTATCATCAGAATAATTGATTGATCAGAATAATCAATTACTAAATTGTTAGCATTTCAGATCGATTGAATCTGGTTTCCATCTAAACTCAACTGTTAGAACAGGAATCCTAAAAGTTCCTGCTGTAAAACATTTTTTGTTTTCTCTTTGACAAAAACCTTCGTCGGTTCAGAGATTGGTTGCCAACAGCAATGATCTCTCGTAGAAAAGCATTTGACCTGCAGGATTCATTTTCAGAGGCTTAAATACTCAGATTCTACAGCTTTTGTCTTTTCAGCTTCCAGAGAACAATTTGCAATCAGCCCAGGCTGCAGGTTGCAGGCAACAAGACGACCGGAGAAATCCCGGCTGAACGAAGCTTTGCTGGAAACCTCGCAGTTTCACTAAATCTTGGCCATCGGGGATAAAAGTCAGAGCCAAAATGCAAATGAAACGGCTGGAGGCTGTTGTTTGTTCCAGCCTCCTTCCAACTGTTGAACCCTGAAGATTAGGCCCGTGATCGGTTAGCAGCGTTTAAACGCTGCGGCGTGCTGGCGGCGCCAAGCTTCGCCTCTTCCTGTTTTTATTGTTTCTTTTATGGCTTTGTCTGAAGCAGGAGGGGGAAAAAAGTGTTCACATCAGATTTAGTTTTAAAAGGCGGAGAGGTTACTTCCATTTAAGAAAATATGCAGACTGCGTCCTCTTCCAAGGACATAAAATAACCAACAGTTCAGATTTTCTCCTGAAATGATTATTCTGGCAGCGACTCGTCTCGTTCCAACAATCCCAAACGATAAATGTTACATCATCACTTGTCCACATAAATCTTGTATTCTGAACGCAGAAACAAGCGTTTTCCTCGTCCAACATGGCGTCGGTTTGCGCCGCAGGGTGAAGCCGATTGGCTGAGGCTCCAACGGCGGAACCGATTGGTTTGCAGAGGGGAAATGGAGATGTGATCCGATCCGTACAAAATACAAACAAGAGTTTAAAGCTGATGAGGAAAACAGCTTTTCTGATCTGGAAGGCAGAAGTTTGGTCATTTCTGGACTCGGATCGTGTTTTTGGAGAACTTCAGCGCCGCTGGAGGAAATGCAAAGAGACTCAGGATGAACTTTCCTCGCACTGCGTTGCAGCACATGCTGATTGATGTTAGCGCTTTAGTGTTAGCTTCTGCTAAACACCATGCTATAGTGATTTAGCATTAGCAGAACTAGCTTTTGCCGAGTGCTGCGTGTTGTAATGAGATGTTGACAGAAACATTTTAATGTTGTTTTATTGTTCAATAATGATGCATATTTGTATGTTTTACAGTTTTGTGTTCTGTTGGATGTTCACTCAAAATGACCTCAGGGTAAAGCATCGATCCAGCTGGATGTCTAGCTAGCTATGTAGCCATGCAGTTAGCTGCCACTTGCTATATAGCTATCCAGCTAGTTATGTTTTGTCAAGCTAGATATCTAACTCTCTATGCTAACTGTTTAGCTATATGTCTAGCTAGTTATCTAGCTATTTAACTAACTATATAGCTAACTATCTGTTTACTTATCATCTAACCATGTAGTTAGCCACCTAGCTACATGGTACACCAAGCTATCGATATTGAACTATCTACAGCTTAGATAGTTAAATAAACAGCTGTAACAGCTAGCTATTAATTAGCCAGAAAAAAGAGATGGACAAGCAGACGTTTAGGAAACAATCAAAATTTACAGACAAAGCCAAACCAGAACTCCAGTCAGAGCTTTATTCTTATTAAGAATTCAAAAACACACAAAGAGGCTGGAGGAACGCCCGGCCCAAAGAACGCCCGGTCCCCAAAGAACATCCGGCGCCAAGGAACCTGAGGAACCAAGGAACATCCGGCCCAAAGAACATCCGGCCCAAAGAATATCCGGTCCAAAGAATATCCGGCCCAAAGAACATCCGGCCCAAAGAACATCCGGCCCAAAGAACATCCGGTCCAAAGAACATCTGGCCCAAAGAACGCCCGGCCCAAAGAACGCCCGGTCCCCAAAGAACGCCCGGCCCAAAGAACGCGCCCGCCCAAAGAACGCCCGGTCCCCAAAGAACGCCCGGTCCCCAAAGAACATCCGGCCCAAAGAACATCCGGCCCAAAGAACGCCGGTCCGCAAATAACTCCTGGTGCCGAGGAACCTGAGGAACGCCCGGCCCTGTTTCAATCTTCCCGTTTGATCTTTGGTCTTAGGCTGCAGCGCTGCCTCTTCCTTTGTGGTACAAATCTATGTTACTGTTTACTACGCACATTTCATCTTTGTTGCATGAATTAGTTTTATGCAACAAACATGAATTAGTTTCTGTTCCACTGGATTATGTGGGTTTGCTTTAGAAACCGGTAAAACCAGAACTTTTCTCCGAAATAATGGTATTGAGATCTCAGTTAAGCCGTTTTAAGTGTTTCTTGAAACAAAACATCTGGGAACCTTTTTGTTAGAAGGCTTGAGGAGTTATGTGTTCACGCCCTTCACCATGTCACCGACTCCTCAGGCTGACTTGACGTGACAACCTAAAGTTTCTGTTTTTACCTGCGGACAAACTGTCAGGCTGTGAAAGGCGACGCACAGAAACGCAGCAGAGGAAAACAAACTGTAAGCATTTCATCACGTTTTATTACAGATTTCTGTGTTTTTCATGGTGATGGTTTATTCTCTTTGTGCGTTGATGATGATGGATTAGGTTTGGTTAACAGCTCTTGTAGCTGAGGAATGTTTTCTTTCACTAGTTTAGGTTTTACTTTTTCACTTTATTCTGGAGGCGAAAGTCATTTTTGTTGGATTAATTTCAAGATTAAACTGAGACGCCTGAAGTAAAACTGAACTAACAGCAATTATCTCCTATAAAAATAAACTTTTTTTAGTTGGTTCCTATTCAAGGCTTCCATGAATGAGCTTGATCTCATGGATTAACCCACTGAAGGAATGAAAAACTCTTAAAGTGAGCAGCAAAGAGCTTTTCTTTGTGTTTTCAGTCTTAATCTGTAATCGCCTTCTTCACCCTGAGACGCTGAAATCAAAACCAAATCTGTTCTGACTGGCTGGAGACCGACCGGACCGATGCAGGCAGGCAGAATCCCAACCCGTAACTTCAGTCTCACATAATCTGGATTAGCGTTTATTCTAGTTTTAAAGTGTTTCTCCAACAGTACAAGCCTTGGCTTCACATCATTATTATGATAACTGATTTACAAGCAGAAAATATTCTCTCTTCTCAGAACATTCAGCCTTAAATGCAAACTCCGGATGCCAGGAAGAGTCGGCATATTTCCTCCCGTACGCGTTTATGAACACATGAATAATTCAGAGGCTTCAGCTCGGCTCACGCAGTCAGTAAATATCCAGAACCAGATTCACATTTGGTTCAGGTTGAAGGTTAAGTTGCCTCTATATGAATGTGAATGAACATAATTTAAATGTGTGGAGACGAATATTTAGACAAATCAGGCTGAAAACTCATTAATCCGTTTTCTGGACAAAAACTGAAGAACCAAACTAATAAATATAAAGTTAATTAAAAAGACATTGACGTTGATTCCTGGGACGTCCCGTCCGTTCGGGTTTACGGTCACAAGTTCATCAGAATCTGCAGTAAAATCATGAAACCTGCAATAAAAACTCGTCAGAATGGAGCAGAAGGTCATGACCCTCAGAAGGTCATGACCCTCAGAAGGTCGTGACCCTCAGAAGGTCTTGACCTTCTGAGGGTCACGACCTTCTGTTAGCCAATGGAAACTGGTTTCTTCAGATGGGATGTAAATAGGGACTGGACCAGATCATCACTCTGCCATCACCATGTTTAACCATATTGGTTCTGGTTCTGGTTCTGGTCCGGTTGACCTGAGTGTCCTTATCACAGACGGACATCACTGTCCATCCAGATCATTTTATTCGATTCTTTTGGATCTTCGTTGGTTTGTTTCTGAATAAATAAACTTTGTATCATGCTGATTGTTTTTCAAATAGTTTTTTAATTTCTTTAAAATGCCTGTCGCGTGTTTTTATACATCATCATTTCTCGTTTTTATTTCTGCTTGCAGACCCAGCAGGACGGCCGTTTTGCAGCCGCTGTGCTGACTGACGCTGCGGTTTGTCGAAGGTGAGTCAGTTTGTTCTGGTTCCTCAAACCAGCAGCTTCTTCTGGCCAAACAGAAAAATCGATGCCCGTCTTGTTGGCGCTCTGTCTCCCTCCAGCTGATTTTAATTCCTCACCTCCAATCAGAATATTGACTCCCTTCATATTGGCACATTAAGCAGCCTGTTTACCGCCGGTCCTGTCAGTGAGGGTCTCTGGAGGCGGCTCATGGCGGCGGCTCATGGCTGCGGCTCATGGCGGTGCTGTGATTTGTATGAGCCGCTGCTCCTGTCAGGCTTGTTTTGCAGCGTTTTACAGAAACTAATGAGCGCCTCTGACTGAGCGTGATGTTCTGGGGTGTTTTCTTCTCACAAATGACCGCGGCGGAGCAGCGATCGTATCGGTTTGTTTGGGGCGTGAAGGAGTAAAAGTGATGGTGTTGATGTGGCGTGAATAATTGATGGCGGCAGCAGGAAGACAGGAACAAAGAGACTCTTCCCCGAATCATTTCTTCCCGTTTCATTCCTGCCGGCGGTTAAATGTGAAACCTGTGATTTCCTGATGTTTTCTCTGCAGACGTTTAGCGACTTCTTTTGAGCTTTGTCACTTCCTGGTGGTCTCTGATTGGTCGGTTCACACAGGTCACTGAGTCACCAGCAGTCTTTCTCTTTTTTCTCTTTATTTTAACATTCTGGGTTTATTTTCGTTAGTGGAGCATTGCGGCTCTCGCTTTGATTCTCTAAGACTTTATTAGAAATCTGAGTTTATTTTAGAGTTAAAATGATTATTTGGATTCATAAATCGATTATTGAAGTAATCAGCTAATTTAGTAATGGATTAACTCAGATCGGTTTCCATCCTCATGTTGCTTTTTTCCTTCAGGTTTTTAACTTTTTATCTCTTCCTGGTTTTTACATTACAGTTGTGTGAAATAGTTTTATTTTTGCCTCGCCTCATTTCTCCTGCAGTTTCTCCTCTGAAGAGACATTTTTCTTCCTGGTCTCGTTGTTTTTTTCTCGCCATCTTCTCTTCATTTCCTGTTCTCCGTCGTCTCGTCCGTCTCGTCCTTTTCTCTGACGGATCTGTCTGTTCTGCCTCTTGTCTCTCCGGTCCATGATGGATGCCGGGTTGCGGTTTGATGGATGGCTCAGCCGCCGATACGAGACGCAGATCTGCAGCTTGATCTCAGAACATCCTTTGGGTTTTAGACGCCGCCGCTGGTCAGAACCTGCTAACTGCCACGTCAGCTCACAGATGATCCCAAAACAGAGTGGAAGCATTTGATTTCAAGTGGACCAATTCAACTTATAAGAAAAGAAAAATCTATTTTTTTATATCGAGCTGCTCCAACTGAGCGCGATATGAATCATAATCATAGGAATAGTTGGTAATAACAAGGACAGATGTGTGGGGAAACTCCCACTGTGTTCGTTTGTGAGCATAAAGTGTGTGTGTCCTTGACTTCTGGAGGGAAAAAGATGAATGAGATGTAATTAATCTGAAACGGAGGTAATCACAGGAGGATTTCCAAGGTTGATCACCAGACGAGGAAACAAACTTCTATAAAATTTACCAGACTCTTAATTCTTCACATTTAGTGTCAATTTGGAAAAAAATGCCACTTTTGATTAAAAGCAGATAGGGGGAAATTAAAGAACAAGAAATTGGCAGAAGGGAGAAATAATTGGGATCATTTTTAAACCAGTTTAGATCTGAAGCACCAAATTTATAAATAAAACACCACAGAATCTAAACTAAATGTCCTGCTATGAACATGAACATGTGTTTGATACAAATCTGCAGATGTTTATTTAACTTTGAGCAATAAATCACAAAATCACAGTAACTGAAAAGTTTATCAACTTTTCTCTTGTACTGCTAATCACATCTGCTAAAGTTTTCCTACTAGCTAACAAAGCTAGCTTCCTGGTTGTGTGAAGCTAACTGGCTCCGTAAAGGTGAATCCATGTATTTAATTTGACATTCTAGGGAATTTTATTACTTCTAGTTTCTACTGTTTCTCATTTTACATCCCAGTTACATTTTGTCAGAAAGATTTAGATGCTAGCATTTCTCCAGCTGAATTTTCTCTGGTTGTTGACTGTAAAAGCGAAGAGCCGTATTGGTCAGTTCCCTGCAGTTTTCAGCAGCGTGTGGCTCATTAGCAATCAAACAGGCTATGTTGCATCACTTTGTGACTGCCTCAGCATGTTCATCACGGCTCTCAGCAGGACACAGTCAAGCTGAGATGGTAATAAAATATAGAAAAAAAGTCATCATCCAGTCTGTATGAGTCAGAGCTGGATTAAAGCGAAGCTGCTGCTGCGGTTTCTGCAGAATGAAGTCAACAATACGCCTCCTGCAGGGAGGCAAAGAAGATGAATGGGAGGTTGGAGGGAGCTGACCTGGAGGCAGCCATGACAGAGGATCCATTATACAGCTGGAAACACACACACACACACACACACACACACACACACACACACACACACACACACACACAGACACACACCCACACACACACACACAGACACACACACATGCACACACACACACACACACGCACACACACAGACACACACACACACACACACACACATACACACACACACACACTCACACACACACACACACGCACACACACACTTTCATAAGCTACTGTTTGACTAATAGAAGGCTTTGATTTATACAAAATCCTCATTCTGTTCCTCTTTATCCTTGTTGCTTGCGGCAGATTTGTAAATCTGAATCGTTTCAAAATGCTCATCATTGGAATCATCATTTCTGCTTTTACATATTAAAGGCTGTTAATATAGAAATGACAGGAGTTTATATAAAGGTTCACAAGACCCAGCTTTTATTTTGATAGTCTGCTTCCTGTTATTGTTAGGTGAATTTGAACGTTAGCTAAATATTCAGCTTTGAGAAAGGAAAATATTTAGCTAGCTCAGACTTAAATATTTAAATTGAAGCTCAACATTTAGCTGGTGAATGAAATATTTATTGTGTTAAACTATTTACCTTTAAGTTTGCTAAATATTTAGCTGATCTAATACACACATGCAAAAAAATGAGCTGAAATATTTATTTTGATCAATAATGCTGAATCAGCTCGTTAAATATTTAGCTAACTCTGAGCTAAATGTTTATCTTTCTAACTAAATATTTAGCATGAAGCTAAATTTTTAAGCTAGACCAAATATTTAGTATATTTATAAGGAAATATTTTGCTACAAGCTAACAGAGCTAGCTGCTAAAAAGCTCAATATTTAATTTTGAGTTTAATGTTTCAATAAATAGTAAATATTTATCTTTCTAAGTAAATGTTTAGCTCATGACATTTAAAAATCAATGGTGCAAACATGTTATTTTCTCATTACATGCTAAGTGACTGAAATTATAGCGATTCATTTTTTTGCTTTACAAACGGCTCCTCATGTTGCTCCTCACCTGCATCCTGAACTTCCTCCAACTTTTACCTGCAGTTATAAATAAGTCAGTCTGGTTTTCCTTTATTATTGGCGTCTGAATAATGAAGAGTGAGTCGCCACCTTGCAGCATTCTGGAGGCAGACGATGACGGATGATTATTCATATTTAATGCTGCATAAAAACAGAAGGCTTTACGCTTCTCTAATTCACATTAAATGTGAGCCGTATTTCGTTGCTCAAAGTGTTTAAACATCATCTGAAGCATCACTTATGGATGAACGTCGCCGCCGCTGCTCTTTGATTTCTCCGCCGTCTCTTCCTGTAATTATCCGTCTTGCTTGGCTCCCAGGCTGCAGAGTCTCAGAGAGGAAATGAAGCCCAGCCGTCGTCTCAACGCCCTCTGGGGGTTTAAACTTTTCTTGTGTGGAGAGCAGAGTCAGTCAGGATGTTTAAAACGCGCTGGACTCGGTTACCAAACTATTAAACCCAGTTCTGGTGATCTGAACCAGAACCGACTGCACGAAGAGAAAGTTGGTTTTTCTTCTGAGGAAACGGAGCCTGAATGTTTCCTCTGAAATCTCTGGAATTTTATCTTGATGCAAAACATTCCCAGTATTCCTGTTCCTGGAATCTTGTCGTAACTTTGACTTTTTTCTGCAAACAATCCACAGATATTGTCATTTTCTCATGCTGAGAAAACATGGTGAATGTTTCCAGCTGTTAATTTGATGCCATGATTTTAAAGTTTCTTTGCTGTTTCTGTACGAATCTTAATGAAAACTGAATTAAAACTATTTAAAATCATTTTTTTTGCACAATGAGACAAAGAATTGGATGATAAATTATCTCATATCGCCATAAATAATAATATTGTTGTTTTTAGTAATATAATTATGAAAGTACTAGTTCCACTGGAAGATTATTATTATTAAGACATTTTTGAAAAATTTTAAATATCATCAGTGGAAGTAATACTTTTCTAAATACTCGTAAATTATTGACTTAAAAGAAGGTTTTGAAAATCTTTGTAAGTTAATTTTGTCTCATTTCAAGATATTTTCAGTAGAAATTTGACAAAAACACGTCGTAGGATTGGATCTGTTGATATATTTTATATGATCTTAATGTAAAATAGCTTATTATTATTCCTGAAATGAGCAAAGTGAACATAGTGTTTTTCTTTTTTCAGCTGAGATTTAATGAAAGGAAAATATTAGTATTTTATAAAAGAAAGGCTTTTATAATATTTTATTAGTATGACAGTTGAAAATTGAAACGGCATCAGTCATCAGTTTGAACCCTGGTTGAGTTCATGATAAAATGAAGCTTCATTGTGAATGAAGGAGTGAAAACAGGAAGGAGTGAAAACAGGAAGTGTTGGACTGCAGGTGGGTGGTCACTCTGCAAGCTGACCTGCTGATTGGCAGCCAGCTGACAGCCGGGTGTTTCTGCCGCGCCGCACCTGGATGGTTAATACACACACACACACACACACACACACACACACACACACACACACACACACACACACACACACACAAACCGCAGCGCGTGTTGACATGAATGTAGCTGTGCTGAACTCTGTATGTTGAA